GGCCTCGTGCTTGGGTGACAGAGGGGGAATCCCAGCCCCCGACCTGCCTGCCGCAACGGGCGCAGGAAATGACACCTACGTCTGCTTCCAAAATTAGCTGCAGCAGAAGGGCTGAGAGCTGCGAGCTGCTTAGATGTCCTACTGCTGCTGAGGTCAACCACCTAAAACCCCTGAGCCTGGGACCCCATAGGTCTACTAGGTGTTAAATGTTTCTTAAAAAGCAAACCAGGCGGATTCCCGTGTATCTCAGGACAATGAAGTGGGCAATGAACCATTTCACAGACCAGGTACAGTAATCTGACTTTTTTTAATAAATACATATCTCACATGTACCAAAATAATTATGAACAAAAATGTACAGTATTTACACAATATACAATTGCTAAAAAGTGTAGCAATTATGACACACATGGTGTGAAACACACTGTTTCCAATGCCCACAGTTAACATTATTGCTACCTTTCTCCTAACAGCAGGGTCACCAGTCCCTTGGTCTGACTCCTCCGCCTGGGACACCCCGCTGAGAGCAGCCGAGGTCGGTCAGTAAGGCCAGTGAGCACCACCAGCCCAACACAAATTAACACACAGTCTCTGAGAAGATGGGGTGTTGGTATGAACCTGCCTTCCCACGAGAGGACACGCGTTCCCCGTGGTACTTAATGCCACAAGTCAGCTCTCTCTAACTAGCAGGTTGGATGTGTAGTCTGTTACCTTCGTAGGGTTGAGAAGATTGGCTATGTGGCTCTTTATCAGGTGGTGTGAATAATCACAGCTCTCTACTGATGTTACACATCCCGCTCCTGCATTTAAACACAGGCCGGAACCTGGAACCGTCCTGTTACAATTACGTGCTCCTTGCTGGGCAGTGTAGTATTTCCCTCCTGGTTTTTCCCTCCATGTTGCGACTTTCTTTTTAAATGAAGAAAGTCAGTCCTTTTTCTATACATATGTACACAGTCACTTCTTTTCACAGAAAGCTCTGCTTTAAAATGCCAGCTGTCGTCCTCCAATAAGGCAGTCATCATATATAAGCTGGAAGAAAAAACAAAAGGCTGTTAATGCAAAACTCTTACTGGGAGTATCGTATCCACTCTGGGAGAATTGCCAAATTTTGCATGCCCTGACTTTGGCAGCGTATAGAATTTCTACACCGAAATGGTTACGTTTGCCATTTAACAGGCACTGAGAACGTTAGAAAAACAAATGCTGGGGAGGAGAAAACCACCCATTAACTTGAATTTTATCTCACGAGGTTCTGTAGGTGTCAGCAACAGAACGACGTTCAGCGCCTCATGTTGCGTGAAGTTAACCTCTACTCCCTCACGTAGTTTTTACATTTTATTCTTAAATTTATTCTACTTATATGCTTGCCCCAACTGCCATCTTGCTGATGGCTGACAGTGAAACCTTACTTTATGGGCTATTTATACCTGTCAGTTATTATATAGGTAAGAGGTCACCGAAACATGTAATCAGAGCGGCACCAACAAAAAAAGCTACAAAGAGCAGGATTTTCCCTTTCCCTTGAAAAGGTGCGAATAGCTACTTACTTCATCCTCTGTGAACTCAGGCTCCGATTCACTGCTCTCCTCGTCCTCACTTTCTGGCAACATCTGCAGGTCGGCTGTGGTCAGCTGCTTCAGCTGTTCCTGTATGCTGGAGTTGTCTCTTCCCCACGTGAGCTGGTAGGGGGAATAGCCCTGGTAGGTCACTTTGTTCACGTCCGCCCCGTGTTTCACCAGAAGCGACACCAGGTCTGAATTCTGCAAGTCAACAGCCAAATGCAGTGCCGTTCTGCCATTGCACGGCTCCTGCGTGAAAAGAACACAAGGTTTGGCATGTTAGGAGAGGCAGAGCCGGTGCCAGACCTGTTGATTCTTATGACTACACAGCCCTCCTCAGTTAAATTCACGGTATACTTTACGTACCTGAGCATTTACATCTGCTCCCAAGGACAGCAAGTATTCGACAATAGCCAGGTATCCTTGAATAGATGCCAAATGGAGACATGTATGTCCTGCAAAACACAAATGAAGGTAAAATTTGAGTAAGTCTAACCTAATGCCCTATAATTCAGTTAAAGTCAAGATGATAGGACAGGACGATAGCTAAGTTTGCAATTCATCCATGGCAAAAGGGTGTTTTCCAGAAGAGCTTTCCGGCTTCCAGTAAGTATGAATAACAGGGTTGGATTTTGGAAAGATTTCTTAGAGGCTTTATTCCAGTGTTTGACTGCAACTTATTTTAACCAAAAAAAAAAGGAGCACTGCAAAAGTACTCACTAAAAATGCAAAATTCAAAGCCATGAGAGCCAATAAGCTGCAGTGAAGAGGCCTACAAGACAGTGACATTTTAAAGAAGTCAGACACTGCTGTGTGCTTTGGGCTCCTCAACTCTCAAATGGGCCTAAGGATCCTTCTCCACCTCTCCAGAGATCTTTGAGCTCTACGGGGCAACAACTCTGCCCTCGGTACAGCACACTGACATCGATGTACAGCAGCATGCCCGTACCGTTGTAGTTGGTGGCCTGCAGGACAGCGAGGAGGTGTTGCGGCTGGCAGTACTGCGTGAGGACGCTGACGCTCCTGAGGGAGCCCTGTTGGCAGGCAATGTGCAGGGGGGTGTTTCCTCGGAAGTCCCTGATTTCCAGGTCGCATCCGGCCTTCAGAAGATGCTCGGCAATTTCAGGCTGGTCGGTGATCACTGCCAGGTGAAGAGGAGTCTGCAGGCAAAAGAAAAAACACAGACCTGTAAGTTACACTGCAAACTTGGCCGCAACGTCTGGACCAACAGACCCCTCGACCGCTTGGCGATTTCTGCTCCCAGTTAAAAACACACCCCAGAAACGCAGTTCTTTATGCTTCCCGACATATTGTATAGTTGCCCTTTAGTCTGGAAATGATGAACTTGGGGCTCTCCGGATACCGAACAGTCCATCCATATGAAGGGTATCATTAACATCCCACTAAAGAGGGATGCAACCCATTGCATCATATTTGAAAAATGCGGGTGTTAAATGCCACTCTCGGGGGAGAGGAAGCGTTGTACTAACACTGGCTGGAGCCAGCTGGGGACTTTCCTGAATGTAGGCTTTGATTTAATATCCATCAGTTAAAAAAAAATTTAAAAAGGACTTTTTTGGGGGGAATTCC